TATATAAAGTCTTAGGGCATGTCCATTTCCTTTTAACTCTTATCTCTTAAGAGAAATATTTTAACTTTAAGAGAAAAATGGTTGGTCGTTTCCTCTTATCTCTTATCTCTTAAATTGTAATCATACAATTTTTTGTTTCCAATGATACCCCCAAAAAGACAAACAAAAACTCTCATATATGGGGTCAAAATGGATATTTGATAATTTTCAGAATTCAGAATTTATAATTCTGAAAATTCACTAATACCAATATACCTCTTAATATAATTATTGCACTTTCAGATTTCAGAGTTCAGAGCAAACGAACAGGCATGCAACAAAATTAAATATGGTGTAACTACTATATCAAGCAATTCAATTATATAAACCAACTCCAATATCTCACACAAAGCATGCAACAAAATTAAATTCATTATCTGTTATATCAATACATCTTAGCAATAGTCTTAAAAGCTAAAAGTAGAACTAAGTTTTCAAAAACTGGATTTCAAGGATACATATTTCCCTATTTTACTCATAACAGGTTGGATTTTCTACAAGAAGAGGAGGAAGAAACAAAAGCAGTTTCATTTTGAGAAACTCAAAGCCAATGGAAGCTTAGATTTAGAGAACGACAAACACTCCATCTGTACCACAAGATATTGGGTTTTGTTTGATAAAAAAAGTAGTAATCAAATTGCTTTCCAAGTGAAGCTTGGAATACCCAATTCTAATTTATAATAGAGAGCTTTAGGGGTTTAAGATGGAAGTTGCCGAAGGCCAAGAGGTTTTATTGCAGTTAATCCTTCAGATGATGAAAGTGAAGAAGAGAAGCCTAGGGAGTGTCTAAGGTTAAACAGAGTTTTTCTGATGTATTCATGTGAAACAAATGAAAAGTTTTACAATTTTGGAGAGCCGTTCTCTTACATGGAGTTCAAAGGCAGAAGAGTACCCATTTTTGTTCAAGAGCAAAGCATTAAGGAAGAGGATTTCAACCCATCACTCTTGTAGCTAATCTATAATTAGCTTTAAGTATATCTAAGAGAAAGCAGTTTGGATGCTGGAGAGAATTTTTAGAGTTCAGGCTCACAGAGTGCAATATGGGGAACCTACCCAAGCTTTGCTCATTGATTTTGCACAGAAGGGAGCTCCTACCCTAAAATAAAAAATTGCTAAAATATTGGAACATATTGAGCTCTTCTTGCAGGTACAGCTATTCTTAGGCTCCTCGTCACTCAGATATAATATCTATTTTTTAAAGTTAAGACTTAAGACAGACAATTTTCTTCCATTGTTTGACTTTTCCCTTTTGGTATCCATTTCCTACCTATTTGCATGAAACAAAGCAAAACCCAAACTAAAACTATGGGCTTTCCATTTCCACGCTCGATTTACTCATCAAAAGAAATTTTCTTTATAGAAAATTAATTGATAAATATATTTATCAAGTTCGGTAAAAAATTAATTGATAAACATCATGTATAAATGCCATCATTACCTTTATCTTAACTTCATTAATTTTCTTATCCAAAAGGCAAGGAAGCAACAACGTTAAAGAACATGGGTTCCCAACTCCCACCCCACTGGAGAGACTAAAAGATTCTTCTATCCGAGTTTCTCTTATCATTCATCTCGAGGCTTACTGAAGTGGATAACAATTTATCCAACTCAATTGAACCATATATAAAATAATATACTCATCATCAAAGTAAATTTGTTCCTCTCTCTTTCTCAGTCATATTATTTGTTAGTGGAAAAGGTTGGTGTAATGAATTTCATTACCCATCATATCACATTGTCTTCTTCATCCAATGCATATAGAGTTAGTCGGTTGGAAGCCAATCTGAAGATCACAGAAGGGCCAGAACTTTCATTTTTCTATCTCTTTACCTTGTTTCAAGGCAAGACAGAAACTTTGAAAACAACAACCATCTTCAATACTTGGCCGTAAATCAAAACATTAAATGGGTTATGAAAACCATATACCTCTGTAAACTACTGTAAACCATATATATACCTTTACAAACTACTGTATACACTGCTAGCTGTAGTAAGACTCACCAATTACTAATATAAAAATGTCAAGAGAAACAGCATGTAAAACAACCACTATTAGTTCAGTGGTTCCACTACTAAACTACTATTGAAAGTAAAATGCATCCCTATAACCCATTCAATCAATGTTTTCGAACCATCGTTAACAAGTACAGTCGGACCATTTGGACCGGAAACAGCATGTAAAACTGTTTTTAAAAATTATCATTTAAATGGTTAATGCTAATTACTTAATTATCTCATTATATAATTATTAATGAAATATTATTAGAAATTATTATTATTTTATTAATTATATATGTATTATTTAATTACCTAACTAATGATTTAATTATTCTATAAATTCATAATTAATCACTCTTATTATTCAATTATTTAATTACCTATTTATTTATTCTATTTAATAAGTAATTATTTTAATTAATTGTAAGAGTGATTAATAATAATAATAAATTATTAATCATTAATTAATTACTTAAATTAATAATTATGTAATAATTTATTATCTTATTAATTAATTAATAAATGGTCAGTTCTTTAAAGATATTTAATAATTTGTAATTTTTATCAATTTTATTTTTATTAATTATTTTATATTCATTTAATTAATCATGAATTAAATTGTTAAATAATTAAACAAACTTTTCATATCAAAGGTTAAAATGGTCAGTTGTCACTTTTCAAAACTCAACATTCAAATTTCAGAACAATATTCTTTACATTCAAACGTCAAAGCCAAGACAAGTTCACCAACTCTAATAAACCTCTAAAAGTAATTATTATAGTTTCAAAGGTGTTTAGACTTCAGAAAGGAGTTGATGACATTCTCAATTGGACCAAACCACCTCAAGGATTATTTTTCGAACCGATTAACCATTAACCATTACTGAAAATCGACCAACTCAGGTTGTATCGGTTTAGATTGGTTTTCAGTTTGGTTAGTCAGTTCAATACATTTAAACTTAAAAAACTAAATTTAAATTTAAAAATTGCACTGTTATTATTAAAAGTAAATTAAAATTTTTAAATTTACAATATAAAATATTTTAGACTAAGAAGCATGGGAATTTTCCCACTTTTCTGTATTAAAATGTTATATTTCAAATATAAAACATTAATATATGTCTATGGTTGGGTCAGTTCGATTTTGTTCGGTTTACAAATGGTCAAACCGAAACTGATCCGATGTAATTAGGTTGGGAATTACTGAACCAAAGCAGAACAGAAATACTAGAAAATCGACCAATTCAGGTCAATTTGATTCAGATTAACCGATTTAATTGGTTTCATCAATTTAATAAACAATCTTGACTAAAATTAATTATTGTTATTTTTATATTACAAAAAATATTAAAAAGAACACATAAAATATTAATAATTATTAATTATTTAAAAGTGAAAATATAAAGTAATTATCTACTCTTATAAGTTTTTATTATTTAATTTTAGCTTAATAAAATTACCTGTACATCACACGGACTACCACTAGTATATGATATACACAGAGTAACATATGATGTAGAAATATATTTCTGTCTAATCTTGACAGCTTGCGCTGTCAAAAGGACCCTCTCTTGTGCTTGGGCCAACCACTTTGGGAGGGCTTTCAAGTGCTTTGTGAGATGGATCCCATATAAGATCACCCAAATATGATGCGATTCAACTTTTATTTATTTATTTCTGTTCGGTAACCTTATCAGCTGAAAAAAAATGGTTTTCTTGTGAATTATTTATTAGCTTGTTTAGTGGGAGCGGCTTAAAATAAATATCAATAATACATCAGAGCACCGAGGTAAGGTTGCATGACTTGAAAAATGCTAGCCATAAGGTTTGATGGATGAAATCATTATTTTTTAATTTTTCATTCGAGGTCCACTGGCTTCCGACCAAGGTTATATTTTAGGGTTTAATACTAGTTTAAGGGTTTAGGGGTTTTGAGTTTAGGTTTTAAGACTTATGGTTTAATGGTGTAAGGTTTAGGGTTTTAAAATATTGGTTGTTGGGTTTAGGATTGAGGTTTTGGATAGGGTTTAAGGTTTAAGATTTAGACAATGCCTGATGTTTGGCTATGTGATTTTTCTGAAATATGTTTTCTTATAGCATTCCTTAGAAATCAGAAAAGGTGTGGTCCAAGATAACGACCCTATTGGTTTTTCCCATCTCTTTACTATTTTACTATTGCTACCAACAGTACGATGATATGTCAATTAAAAATGCCTATACAACACTAAACAATGGTGTCAAATAAAAAATAAAAAAATAAAATTCTCTCAAAAAATGGCATCCATTCCAAACACTACATAAGATGTTTGTAATTTGGGCGGACTTGGGTCAAAAATTAGCGAAAATTTGAATCCCAAAAATCTGGTTCTGACAGTAAAATCTTTCAAAATAGGGTATCCTAGCTTATAGAAAAGGGAAAAAAACAGAAAAAAAAATGCTTTTAAACTCGGGGCTCATCTCATGAGTCATGGCACCCTTATTCGGATACGGGTTCACCCAATCGTATTATTTTGGTCAAGGGCGCCGAATTGATGTTCCGACTCCTAAACCTGATCCGTGATTGAACCAGGGTCCTTCGCAGTCTCGCACCATCAGTGTGCAGGTGTCAAATATATAATGTTGATGCAAGTATAAATAGGGAGATATATAAACCACCATAGCCGCAAATCGGAAACAGCTCTTGATAAGGGAGATATTCCCGATGTGCGGCTGTCCTAGCTTTTTGGTAGCAGAATCCAAACGGAATGCTTTTGTCTTATGTTTTAATTTTGGAAAAAACTATGATGCAAAAAAGATATGATATGAAAAAGAGTTTTGACCAATTAAAATCCACCTATAAATTTTCATAAATAAACCTGTTTTATGATTTCAGACTTTTCAGTTGATTGGTCAGGCGTTTTTCTTTGTTTTTTCAGAGAAAGAAAAAAGAGGAAAAGTGAAATTGGTTGCTTGGGTTAATGCAAATGGCCCAAACTGAAATCAATTCCATGCTGTCAGGTGATCACATATTTCATATTGGGGTAGGTGTCAGCTCAGAATTGATGCTAATTTTTGGGCGGGTGTTGATATATAGAATGTGGGTATTTGACATTTTGAATGTTTTTAAATCTATAGTAATTGATAACTAGGCCACAACAATGTGGGGTTAAAAATAAAGTGTTTTGGCTAATTATGAGGCCCGTGGTCCCTATAGGAATTGCGATCACCTACCAACAAAACAAATTCCAACACCATACCAACTTGATCGGATACCGCACATCTCACTATAAAACTAGGCCCACCATAACAGTGGGACCCACCATGTATGAGATGTAAGGCATGATAGGGTATTGGAACATATGATGTTGGCAGTTGATTAGGCCTTTTCGAGAGGGTCCATCTTCTTAATTTCTTATCCATCACGAGCTCACACCGGCACCCTAGGGCATATCCTAACTGTGTATTGGAAATGTCTCTCAATGACAAGTACGGGAAATGTTCCCAAAGATATGCACGTTGGGAATTCATCAATCAAATCGGATTGGAAAAACCAGAAACTGGTCATCTGACTTGTTCAGTTTTATTCCAAAATCGTCTTTTGGCCAAAAACCATTGATTTAGCCAATGAATCATCGACCTGAAAACGGTTTTTGGCCTTTTTTTGTTTTTTTTTAATTTTTTATCAAAACAGGCTGTCTATTCGAATCAGGCGGTTGGACCATTTGACCCAGATGGACTCTAAAACGGTTTCCAATCCAATCCAATTTTAAAAAACCTCGGAATTCACATTGTCTGTCCCTTAGGAACAGAAAATTCTGTCCCGGACCAATAGCAATCTGCCACACAGCCAATTTTCCTCCATTTCAAAATTAAAATGATTTGTGGCAGATTGCTATTGATCCGGAACAGAAAATTTTGTGTAGCAAGGGGACAAACGATCATCCGTTGCGCTCTATTATCTATATAACAAGCCCCCGTCCCTCCTGCATTCAGGTTCAGTTCACTACTCGCTATACAAATCTTAGTTTGGTTTGTTTTTGCTTAGCTAGTGAATAGTGACTACTGACTAGCAGAACTGGCTAGCTCAGAGTCACAGGAAATTGTGGAGGAAGAGGAAGAATCCAGTATAAGGGTGGTCCGCGCCCTGTATGAAGCCTTAAGTGGTGGAGACGTTGAGAAGGTCCAGAGGCTGCTGGCATCGGACATCGAGTGGTGGTTCCATGGGCCACCTTCTCATCTGTATTTGATGCGATTATTGACGGGTAGTGTGTCATGGGACGAATCTTTCGTATTTGTTCCCCTCTCCTTCGCGGCTTTTGGATCCACAGTTCTCGTCGAAGGTTGCGATCACAACCCTTGTGTCTCCTGGGTTCACGCTTGGACGGTGGCTGATGGTGGGATGATTACCCAACTCAGGGAGTACTTCGATACGTCCCTTACGGTCACCTGTTTTGGAGACCCCACCAAACCATCCCCATCCCCACCGTCCTCGTCGATTCGCTTTCCCTGGCTGTGGCAGAGCCAGTTTACCAAGGTTACGGGCAAGTCTGTTCCCGGCCTTCTCCTGGCTATTTAATTTTAATCAACCCAAGTTCCCTGGCTGTGGAACCAGCAGTTGCACACTAAGAGATTACAGGTGTTTGCTGTGTCTCTGTTTATTAGCTTTCTGTGTCCTGATGCGTTAAGCGATGAGAAGACATTAGTCCTCTTCTCATGGGTCCGTGTCTCAGACTGTAATTAATATCGTGTTTGCATCTTCGTAAAATGATTAATGAAAGGTGGTGGTTTGCAATTGTGCTTTATCTTCACGAGATCGTATCCAAATTTTTGTTAGTTTGATGATCAAGATTAGGTATTGCTATATTATATCCAATGTTTTAAAAAATGATGCGGAACTGATTTCTGGGTGAAGGTTTGACCATCCAGTTCAAATGGATGGCCTATTCTGACAATAAAGATTTTTAAAAATAAAAAATGGTCAAAATCGTTGAATGGATTAATGGTTTGATTATTTGAGTTAATGGGTCATTGGCGGATTCAACAGTTTTTAGCCAAGGACTGAGTTTGCATAAAATGGAACCAGTTGAGGGGACAGTTCCCAGGCCAAATGGTCAACAGCGTTCAAAAACCATGATTTGAATGATTCTGCACTCACTATATGCTAAGCTCTAGATTTTAATCCACAAGGCCGGGACCTCCACGACTGAGAGAGAGAGAAAAATTTGAAGCCATGCTGTAAATTGGTATTCCCTTAGGCTATGAATAAGTTGGTATTCCCTTAGGCTCAGTTTGGAAGGAATACAAATGCAAATATATACAGTGCAAATACATACAAAATAATGCAAAATATAAGATTTTACACTCTACATATTTACATTTATACTCCTTCCAAACTGAGCCTTTGTCATGCATGTCATGACAATATGCATTTGTAGCCCATATTGTAACGATTGATATGTACCAATATGGGATGATACGATGGATAAAATTTGTTTTTCCGAACGTCTATACTTAAATTGTAGTTAGTGGGATTTTGAACCCAAATCACTAGATGCTTAAGCCTTAAACATATTAAGCCAATCACTAAGCAAACCTTCATCTTATGAAAACCAAAATAATAATAATAATAATAATAATAATAATAATAAAGTGTACATGTAATTTGGACAAATAACAAATTTGTATGTTCAATATTTCTAATTAAATAAAAATTAATATTTTGTAAGCTAATGGAATAAGTAATTTCTCAAATCTACATTTATGTCCAAAAGTGGTTTTTAATCTAAAAAAATTTATACAAATAAATATACTAACTAGCGGGACCCGTGCAATGCACGGGAAAATGCAATATCCAATTTGATGACAAAAAGTATCAAAATGATATATCAATTTTTTACATGGGGGCTTGTGCGATGCATAGGATTTGTCAAGGGAAGGTAAAACCAAGGTTCAAAGTATCAACCTGTATCGGCCAATACGTATCATTCCGGGAGCTCCCTGATACACCCCTACAGAGGGTGTGTCAGAGTTCTGACCGATTCAGGGGGTGGAGGATTCTTAAACCGCCCCTTGAACCGGTTGTGAAAGAAAAATTAAAAAAACAAGTGTCAATATCACCCGATATGCCCCTATCGGCGTATCGGGCATATCAATATTTTGAACCTTCGGTAAAACAACAAAAACTGATAAATAAGGAATGAAATGTTGTTTAAAATATTTAATCTTTATTTTAATAATTTGTTACAAAAATAATTGAGTAATATAGTAATTTTGATTAATTATTAATATTCTTAACAAAAATAATAAATTGTTGATAATTACTTAATAAAATAATTATTTTTTTACACAATATTTGTTAGTGTTATATTTTAAGACAAAAAAGATCAAACGGATATCCTGATTGTTGGCCACTTGAAAATTAATTTCAACAAATCTTGATTTATATTAAGTATTTTTAATAGTTTTAAATTAATTTTCAGAATTGTTTTGCATTTTCGGTATTTCCAGAATTTTTTCATTCATTTTCAGCATTTCTCAATAATTTTTAGTAATCTTTGCATTTTCAATAGTTTTTCAACAATTTTCAATAATCAAAATGTTCATTTTCATAATTATTGTGGGTTTTCAGTATTTTTTTTCATTAAGCTTCAGCATTTTTTCATTATTTTTAAAATTTCAATAATTTCAAGCTGATTTTTAATAAAATTTCACCAAAAATTAATTTCAGCAAAAAGTAATATTATTATTGCAATTTCAGTATTTTAATTAATTTTAAATATTTTTTCAATAATTTTTATTAATTTTTACTAATCTTTCATTAATTTTCAGTTGATTTTCAATCAATTTTCACTATAAAATTAACTTTTTTTCCTTTTCTGTATTTTCTTAATGTTTTTCAATTATTTATATATATATATATATATATATATATATATATTTTGTGTTTTTGGTATTTTCAATATTTTTCACTAATTTGCCATATTTTTCATTATTTGTTTGTGATTTTTTGCAATTTCACTAATAACAAATTTCAGTTAAACAATAATTTTTAAATAAAGTATTAATCATAAAAATAATTTTCAGTATTTTGTAATTAATTGTTTGTCATTTTTCAGTATTTTCTAATTAAATTTCAAATTTTCAGTATTTTTTTCAGTATTGTCATTTGGGTAGAGTCGGTTCCCATCAATCTAAATATTGTTGTTAAATTAACAGATTTAATAATATTGGTTATAATTACTAATTATTATAAATTTAAGTTGGTTGTAGATATAGATAAATGACCTGTACTATACACGGGTCATGGCGGACCAGTATAGTACACAGATTGGGACATATGGCCTGACGTTTCAAATTCGGGCTTATCGAAAACGGGTCTCAATAGAGCCATTTTGATCATCTTCTTCACCTGAACAGTAAAACAGGTTGCATGTCGACCCAGTTAGTTCTTCTCTATTTTTTAATGTTTTTAGTTGTTTTTTTCCAAAATTTCCGTCTATCAATATTCTATACATCTATTCACAAAAAAAGGGTTTGGCCTCTTACATAATGTTTGGAAGTGCTTAAAATTTGGATGAAAATTTTAAATAGTACTGAACTCAACAAAACCCAAAACTGTTCCATATATATGTCCCAAATGGAGAAAAATAAAATTCCCACATTTAAATCTAAGAAGTAATTGCAGAGGACAATGGACAAAGGAGGTAACCTACTCAATTGACGCATTGTTCACTAGAAAAGTTTTAAACTTGGAATTGTTTGAAATTTTTAAGTTGTATTTGAAATCAGTGTAAATCAAGAACGATGTAAAAGTTTACATCGGTTCAGTTTTGTTGGCATTTGGACGGAGTGTAAATGAAGATCGATGTAAAATTCCACTCCGGTTTAGATTTGTTGGTGTTTGGATGAAGTGGAGTTTTACATCGTGAATCGATGTAAAACCTCATCAAGCATTAAGTTTTACAACAATTAAATACTACATCGATTTTATCGATGTAAAATTTTACACTTTTTATCATGATTTTCAAAATGTAACAGTCACCTATTATACGGTTCAGAGTAAAACATCATCAATATACTTTTACACTGATGATATTTTACACCGGACCCAGATGTATATATATATACATCTTGAAGGTTGAAAACCTGCAATCGGAGATGTTTAAAATATGCAATGATGTCTTTGGTCTCCTAAAAGTGAGAGAGTTGGGTTTGAGACTTTGAGAGGTTATGAGAGATAGTTTGAGGTGTTTGAAAATGGAGAGTTTCAGAGTCCGTGAGTTCAGTTTTGAGAGGCTGTGAGTTTGGTTTTGAGAAATCTAATGCAGACTTTTGAATCGTTTGGTCTCCCAAAATGTTTTGGGAATCCAAACAGAATTATGCCCAATTTTAATCACCTTTTTGAAAAGTAAATAAATAAAATCTCAAAAAAAGAACATAATATGTTCTCAAAGCAACCAGAGGAGCAGTAAAGTGTGCTCTCAAGTTAATTATATTGCAGCAATTTGCCAGCTCAGCACATTGCGGTTTAGTATATAAATATAAATAATAGAATAATTATTTTAGTACTTAAAATTTATAAATTTGAACATAATATGTATCCTAAAATTTTTATAAGATATTAATTAATATTTTAATTTGCATTAAATAAGAACATATTTATTATTTATCAAAATAAAAAAATATTATTTAAACATTTAAGAGTAATTTTTAGTTGACTTTTTTGTTAATAATAAAAGTTAAAAATTGAATAATTGATATAATAATTTACATATAATAGTTGTATATGTTTTGTGCCTTGAGCTTCAATAAAAAAATAGCTTAATAATAGTTTTGTGCATGTATTAATTTACAAAATGTATGTAATATATTTTAAGAGTCTTGATTGATACACAATCAATAGAACTGTATGATTTTTATGTATCTTGATATATTAATTGTAATATATATTTTTTCACAAATACCATTAGAATATATATTTATACTCTAATTATAGATAGTTGACATTAAATATAAATTTATTAATATATTTATGAAATTTATAAGCATTCCTTAGCATCTCAAAGCGTTTTCACATTTTTCATTTGTATCCATGTGTTGCTAAAGCATATCCAAATTTCCGTCTATCAATATTCTATACATCTATTCACAAAAAAAGGGCTTGGCCTCTTACTTAATGTTTGAAAGTGTTTAAAATTTGGATGAAAATTTTAAATAGTATTGAACTCAACAAACCCCAAAGTTGTTCCATATATTTGTCCCAAATTGAGAAAAATAAAATTCCCACATTTAAATCTAAGAAGTAATTGCAGAGGACAATGGACAAAGGAGGTAACCTACTCAATTGACGCACTATTCACCGGAATAGTTTTAAACTTGGAATGGTATGAAATTTTTAGGCTGCATTTGAAATCGGTGTAAATCAAGAACGATGTAAAAGTTTACATTGGTTCAGTTTTGTTGGCATTTGGAAGGAGTGTAAATGAAGATCGATGTAAAATTCCACTCCGGTTTATATTTGTTGGTGTTTGGATGAAGCGAAGTTTTACATTGTGAATCGATGTAAAACCTCATCAAGCATTAAGTTTTACAACAATTAAATACTACAGCGATTTTATTGATGTAAAATTTTACACTTTTTATCATGATTTTCAAAATGTAACAGTCACCTATTATACGGTTCAGTGTAAAACATCATCAATATACTTTTACACTGGTGATGTTTTACACTAGATCCAAGCGAAGTCTTAAGTGTTTGAATCTACTAAATTAAGGTTGAAAACCTTAATATATATATGTATAACAGTCTTAAGTGTTTGAATCTACAAAATGTAACAGTCACCTATTATGTTTTACACTATATATATATATATATAGATATATATATCTTTAAGGTTGAAAACCTGCAATCGGAGATGTTTAAAATATGCAATGATGTCTTTGGTCTCCTAAAAGTGAGAGAGTTGGGTTTGAGATTTTGAGAGGTTGTGAGAGATAGTTTGAGGTGTTTGAAAATGGAGTTTCAGATTCCGTGAGTTCGGTTTTGAGAGGCTGTGAGTATGATTTTGAGAAATCTAATGCATATTTTGATTCGTTTGGTCTCCCAAAATGTTTTGGGAATCCAAACAGAATTATGTCCAATTTTAATCACCTTTTTGAAAAGTAAATAAGAAAAACCTCAAAAAAAAGAATGCAAAAAAATGGGTTGTTAAAGCAATCAGAGGAGCAGTAAAGTGTGCTCTCAAGTTAACTATATTGCAATAATAGAATAATTATTTTAGTACTTAAAATTTATAAATTTAACATAATATGTATCCTAAAATTTTTATAAGATATTAATTAATATTTTAATTTGCATTAAATAAGAACATATTTATTATTTATAAAAATAAAAATATTATTTAAACATTTAAGAGTTAATTTTTAGTTGACTTTTTTTGTTAATAATAAAAGTTAAATTTTGAAAAATTGAAAAATCATTGATATAATAATTTACATATAATAGTTGTATATGTTTTGTGCCTTGAGCTTCAATAAAAAATAGCTTAATAATAGTTTTGTGCATGTATTAATTTATAAAATGTATGTAATATGTTTTAAGAGTCTTGATTGATACGCTATCAATAGAATTGTATGATTTTTATGTATCCCGCTATATTAATTTTAATATATATTTTTTCACAAATACCATTAGAATATACATTTCCTATATATTTATACTCTAACTATCGATATTTTTTTCATTAAATATAAATTTATTAATATATTTATGAAATTTATATGCATTCCTTAGTGTCTCAAAGCGTTTTCACATTTTTCATTCGTATCCATGTGTTGCTAAAGCGTATTCATATCAATATCCAAGAAATCTAGTACAATGCCTGATACCAATACTTTAAAGGTTTTAAAAAACTTAAATATGGGTTTATGTATTCATGGATATATCAATACATATATATGATATATCTAATACATGGCGTATCATATCAATATCTTGACCATTGGTGTTCTAATAGAAAGAGAAAACATTGAAAGACTGTGTGTACAGAGCAAAGGATCTTATAAAGTCATGCATCAACTCATCATCCAACCAAATCTTGTTTTTATGCTTGCCCATATCTTGCACTATTTGGGGGAAAAGGGGACATTGGATTTGAAATGTTGCTAAGCACTTTTTTTTTATTTTTTTCTTATTTCTTTTGAAACATCCCCTAAACTAGGTGCAGGCAGGATTTAGTGTCAATTCTACACTACGACCATCAATAGACCTAACAAATCAATTGGTTGGCACCATATAAAATTGGGGTACAACATAAAGACTTTTCAGGAAGTCACACATTCTAATACTACTCTCGCCTAATCACACTTAACTTCAAAATTCTGATGGGGTCTAATACATTAGTGTTGATATAGTCACACGTTAGGAGTCGGGCTCCTATTTTATCATGGTAAATTAAAGATAATGATAATGTTGATGTTGAAAATTTATTCAAAGGAATCTCTTCGAATTCATTTCAGGTTGGCAAATCAAACCATCCACATCTTTGAACCTAAAGTTATAAAAAAAGATTAGGTCGGTGTGGAATATGATATAGAATCAAGACCAGATCTACCATATATATGTGTGATCTTCCATCAGTTGATTTATTGGGCCTCGGGCATTAAGGCTTCCTTTTTCAAATTAATATATATTATCGGTAGTTGGCTTCCGAAATTGATTAAAACAAAGCATTGTTACATTTCTACCAAGGATTGGGGTTGGAATGGGACCATATTCGATGACCATCATCGAAATCTAATCACAGTTGCTCACATGTCGCATGGGTATACAGTTAATGTGTTCAATTGTACCGCTCAACCTGTGAATTTCACTTTCAAAACTGATGTCAATTCTTGATTTATCTCTTGTTCAATTCCAACTATTTTTTAGGAAGAATATGAAAACTTCCCTGGGTTTGGGTTTTCTAACACTATTGAAACAAAATGGTATAAATAATTTCCTCCCATTTCATTTCTAGATGGAAAATGCTAAATGTAATACATTAATTGTTTTTTCTAAAATATCATACTTACCCTTCACTTAAATACTTCAAGCAGAACAGATTTACTTCACTTTATTTCACTTGAGGTTTTATCTCACTACTCCAAGAAGAATAAAAAAAAATTATCCTTCTGAAAATTGTCCCACAGATGAAAATGAAGAATAGGAAGAATTATCTTTCTGAAAATTGTCCCACAGTTTCTTAAATAATTTTTACGAACTACATGCTTCGAGGAATAATAATTACACGTCTCTAGAGCTTCAATATATGATATCATTAATTGCTTATACAAACGACTGTTGATTCCCTTGAGTGCTTGAACCACCCGTTCAGGATTTCCATCTCCCAATATTTGTAGGGTGTTCATGAAAAACCGAAAAACTAACATGGTGTTTGGAAGCGTGGGTGATTTTTGGGACCGATTTTCAAGAAAAAACATTCATGCTTTCAAGACCCATTTTTCACAAAAAAAAAAAATGCTTCTGCCACATTGGCAGTGAGCAATACTATGATGTTTGGTAAGGTGATTTTCATCACTGTTTTTCATGTATATGCTGTAGGTAAGCACCACATAGGATACACATCAGTCAATCAATGCATCGGTGGGGTCCCGATTTTCGAGGCATGCCTGATTTTTTAATAATCGATTGAACCAAACAATGAGATACACAGGCATTTATTGAAAACCCTATGTGGATCCAATGTGGCACCATTTTTTTCAAAAACGACCACAGTTCCAAACATCCCCTAAATCAAACCAAGAAAATTGAACCGAAAAATGTGATTAACATAATCAATTGGTTCGATTTTGGTTTGGTATTTTTGAAAAACCAAAGATTTGGTTTGAGTTTTAGTTGCCCTAGAAAAAAAAATAATAATCTATTTATAAGTATAGTATATATACTATATATTTTTATAATATTATAATATATTATATCATTTATTATTTATAATATAATATTATATAGATTTATATAATATATATTATAAATATAAAAAACCAAACTAGTCAAAAACCAAAACTGACAAACCGGTTAATTGGTAGTATCGATTCGGTTTCAATTTGGAGAAATTGAAAAACCTGTAAGACCGGTTCGATTTACAAAAATTGTCCATAATTCGGTTAACCAGTTTCAATTTGTTAGGGTTTGTCTTAAAATTGTCCATAGTGCGTGTATGAAAGAAAAAAAGGACCAGATCCGTATCAATCAGCTACATTTCTTGCCCTAGTAGGAATCTTTCTTGTTTTATTATTGTCCGACTGATCTAACAATAACAAAGCTAATTGTCTAATTGGTTAAAATTGAAATTTTAACTCTATTAAGATTTGAAAGTTATCGACTGCACTTTCGATTCATACACAACATTTCAAAACTAATCCCATTTGGTTCGTGAGAAACTGAGAATGGGGGTCTGGAATCGGAATTAGAATGATCAATTTTAATTTCAACTATTTACTTGGAGGGAATTGGAATCCTATTCTCATTTCTAGTGGAATGGTATTTCCCTATTTGAGGGAATGACTATTCCTTCCCCCTCCCTTGAGATTGAAATCTCATTCCTGTTGATTTAAATTCTCATTCCTATTGATGGGAATAACCTATTCTGTTTCCAATTCTGACTCCAAACCCACATAAAACTTTGGGTTCATTTAGTTTGTAGCCAGAATTAGAATTGAAGTCCTTCGGAATCATAATCAAAATAGTCTATTCCCAATTTCCCATAGTCTGTTTGGTTTAGACAGGTATAAGAATTAAAATTGAAATCAGAAGTAATGAGATTTCATTCCCAAAAGAGAGGCAGGGACCAAAGAATAACCATTCCCTCAAATGGAGGAATGCCATTCCTATAAGAATGGCCATACACCTATTCCTATCAACCAATCGGGGCTTTAAATGTAAATATTCATAAATTTTAACAAAAAAATAATCGTTAGGAAATATCCACCCCAATTTGTAGTTTGCCAAATACTACGAGGTTTGGCAAACATTCATTAAAAGTTAAAAAAAAAAAATGGATATGCCAATCCTGTAGCCCAGAGATACATAAATGATAAATTTACTTCATGACACAGTTTTGTGGGAGGTATAATGTACAAACCTCCTTGGCTTTTGATCCTAACAATAATCAATCTTCACTTTTTAAATAAATATGTAAAATCCTCCCCATTTTATAAGGCTGAGAAAGGACTCCAAAAGTCCCTTATCCAATTAATTGAACTCAGAATTGATTGTCTTGGATTTAGATGTTAAAATTTGAATTCGATCTATTTCATAATTGGATCGATTTGAATCCAATCAGTTTATAGTTCTTTATTACTAAAACTTCTGTTAAAGTTTAGTAATTGCATGCACCTACCCCGAACTTTCTGGGTTTGCATCTGCCCCCACAGACTTGCCTCTCAAAAATGTCTCACGAAATTTAGGCGCGACGCGTACATGATACGTGCACTAGGATGACTCGTGCGGACTCCATTTCACGCCATTTGTATCACATCCGTTAATTCCTTTTTGCCCAAAAGGGTTTCTTCTCCCATTACGGGTATTCTCCTATTCTACTGTGAACTGAAAACCTTGGCGCCCCCTTTCGTATCCCACCCACCGGAGATAAACTCTTTCGAGTTCTGCCGGCCGACGCCAACGGCCATACCGGCAGGAGGTAAGTATTCTGTTAAGTTTTTCTCATTTCTTATCTTTTTTTTTGGTTTTTCTCATTCGTTTTTCTCAGATCTGAAATCCACCGGAGTGGGAGCCCCCTGACGTCGTTTCAAGCCCTTGACACCTTCGATAACCCACCGGAGATTAACTCTTTTGAGTTCCGCCGGTCGACGCCGACGACCAACAGTTTTCAGCTGATTTTCATTTGTAACATTATACCTAAAACTTGGAATGATTATTGATTTGTGTATTTATTAATTAGAAGAAATTAAACATGATCATGATTATTGTTTATTAATTAGTCGTCTTCAAGCAAGTAAGGACAATTACAGCCAGCACCCGCACCTTCACTCTCCTCATTGTACTCTCCTCACTGTCTCTCAGTTTTCGCAATGAAAGGGCGGCCTTGATCTTCTGCACCATGCAAGATATGAGGTTGTTGACGATCTCAACCGACTCCATGGTGTTCTTAGCCGTCGGCAGATTATTGACTAGTATCTGAAACGCCACCATCTGGTACAATAGCAAATCCCCAGGGCAGCAGTGCCACGTATTACCGCCATTCATCACTACATGCATGGCTGGACCCAGCAGCGTCGATGCAGGTCTCCTGCAGTATCAACATGCTGCTCTGATTCGTGTTCATGGTCTGCATTACCGATGGAAGTAGTTAAAATTTTTGTGAAAAAGAAGGAAAAATTTGTAAAGATTGCAGGTGAGAAACTTTTCAGGAGAATCATCTATAAGGAGAAATCAATTGGTTTCATTACAATGAAGAAAAATAAAGTCAAAACAAACAAACTCGAAGAGGGCTTCCACTTCGGCGGGTTTCATATTTTAAATACTTAAAATAATGAAATTATACAATAAAATAAAAAGAATCATAACATAATATTCAAATTAATAAGAATTTAATATTTTACAAAATTAATAGTGAAATTAAGCAATAAAAGTATAAACTTTAAAATATTTATTAAAAACACAAAAAATAATTAAAATAGATTTAATAATATTCATATTATTAATGGTTTTATATTTTTACAAAATTTATCACGAGATTATGTACTAACAATATAATTTATGATTTTTTAGATTATTCAAATTAAATGTTATTCATAGAACAAAACTTTAACATTAAAAAATAAAATATTATTTAAATATTTCAATAACTTAATATCTTAAACTCAAATAATGAGTATTTTTAAATATTTTATATACTATTTAAATATTAATAACTAAATATATTAAATAACGAAATATTTAACATAACTATATTTTAAATAGTTAAAGTAACGAAACTATGCAATAAATTAAAAATTTTAAAATAAAAAATCATAACATAATATTAAAATTAATAATAATTTAAAATTTTACAAAATTAATAATGAAATTATGTAACAATAGAATAAATTATAATTTTATTGTTTATTAAAATCAATTAATAATTAGAATTTTAAAATTTAAATAAGGATATATTTAAATAACTAAATAATATTTTCAATAACCAATTTCACTTATATCAATTAATAATTCTAGAAAAATAATTTTCAAAAAATAATATTCATTAATAATGATTTTAAAATCTTAATCTATATTTATTAAATATTTAATATACTAAAATTAATATTTATTGTACTTTCAGAAATTATATATAGTTTTTTGATAAATATATTTTCAATAATTATGTATAAATCTATCTTTGTTTTGTTATTTAACAAAATTTTTTTAATAATTATTGGATATTACATTAAATTTATTATACTTATTGTATTTAATGTATTTTTGTTGTACTTTATTCATTGATATTTATTAGAGATTAAACTATTATTTGAGATTATAATATTTATTGACTAACTTAATATATTTTTTTTAGTATTTTTAGTATTTTTTATTATTGTAATTATTTTATTTTTATTATCAATATATTTGCAATTATTGTGCATTTTCACTATAAATTTTTAATAATTATTGTATATTAAACTACTTATATTTATTAGATATTAAAATATTAATTTAGACGAAATTAGGAGTGTTGATCATGGCCTGTTTAGTTTGGTTGTAGGCTACTAGGCCAACCAAATTGACATGGTCAGGTTGGGGAGTTGGATACCCTAAATCTACTAACCATTAGTGAAAACCAACTAAATCGGGCTGTATTGGTTTGGGTTGATTTTCGGTTTGCTCAATTGGTTTAAAAGATTATATTGAAAACTTAATTTTAAATTTTAAAAATTACATTAATATTATTAAAAATTAAATTTATAATATAAAATATTTGAGACTAATAAATATGGGAATTTCCCCACTTTTCTGTATTAAAAATTTATATTTAAAATATAAAAATATTAATATATATCTATGATTGGGTCATTAGATTTTGGTCAATTTACAAATGGCCACAACAAAACTGGTCCCAATTTCAACCGAAAATATTAGAAGCTGAGCAATTCGAATCGAGTTGTTATTTTTGTATTCTAAAGTTAGAAATATAAAACAATTGTATACTCTTATGTGTTTTATTGTTTAGCTTTCTTTAACAAATCCCGTGCATTGCACGGGTTCTGCTAGTAAATAATTTAAAATTTTGAAATAATTCAGATTAATGATCAATCCTTAGTATGAGGGTCATTCCTAGTTTAAAATAAAGTTGCCTAAGGTTAAAAATTGAGTTGATTCTGGTTGCTATAGCAGGGACATGTATGAACACTAAATACCTTCAAACTGAATTGGCATGGGCGCCCTACAGTGCACCACAGGCATCTCACAACACATCCCAATCGTGTATTGAAAATATTTTCATGACAATGTACATGTGGGGTGCCAATCTGACTCCTCCAAACATACCCTCTAATACATTCGATATCATCTCTCTCCTTTTCATTTTCCTTTTTTTTTTTCTTTTTTATTTGTGAGTGTGGGGGTGGGGAAGTTTGCTGCCACAACGTGACTTTGATGGTTTTAGCACTGCATTGTGTAGCAAAAGTCATATAATAAGATAAATTTTTTTTCTGTATCCAAGAGGCCGACTTCACTATTTTTTTTTTTCTTTCGGGAAGCCAGAGTGGCTAAAGTAATATCCTCATACACACCCATAATTAATTATTTACATGGGTTAGAGTGCCTGATTTTATCTCTACCCTCCATCGCTTTTTCTGTTTTTTGCTACAATGGAAGAGGTGTTATACAATTAGGGGTCCAACTTGGGCGGGCCCAACCCGAGCCCAAACTGGTCCAGTTGGAAATTTTACATGGATTGGGCTTAGATTTTTGGTCTTCAAGCTGGGCTTGGGCCCAAGAAATTGAGCTTTTCTATTTTTCAGGCCATGCTTGGGCCTAGCTCTTAGGTAGCTTAAACCCAACACGAGCCCATTCTAACTATACACATATGTATATATATGTTAATTACACATACATATTTACATATATATACACATATATTTGTATATACATATATATATATATATACATTTGTATACATATTTACCTATTTACATACATGTTTTGCATGCATATATACATAAATATATGTATACATATTTGCATAAATACATATATGTATAATTTTAGAGTGGGTTCATTGACCAACGTAAACCCGGCCCAGGCTCAAGCCCAACCCGAATTCATCAAATTACAGTGCCAGCTGGCCTCGAATTGAAAAAACAAACTTCACCTTGAATTTGGTCCGAGCTCGGGCCATAAGCCTAAATTTTAGAGTCGGGCCCGGATTGACCATAAACTCGGCCCAACCCGCCCTACATGCACCTCTATACACAAGATGAGTAGCACATTCCAAAAACAAAACAATTAATAAGTCATAAGAGCAAAAGGCATATGAATATTAGAAACATTGAGTAGGAAATGATTGAGCACGATTAGCTGACCAATCAACAACTTTGTTGGCTTCACGAAAAAGATATGACGGTAAACCGCATTACCCCTCCATCATCCCGATCGAGCAAAGTTAAGCAGTCTTCGATGATAGGCTTCAGTCTCCACGGAGACTCCACTTGCTTGTTTGAACAGTCTATCATGAACTTAGAGTCACCCTCGATGATAATCTTGAGTCTCGATGCAATGGAATTCTCCTCCGTGCTCCGGCCTCCGGGCTTCACACACACAGTAATAAGAAAACAAACTACTGAACTGCCTCTCCCCGTGCATATGCATGCTTTTACAAGTATAAAGCCAAGTATTGGATTAGACAAATTGTAGTTAAAATCGGAATCAGAATCAGAATTGAAATCCTGTGGAATCAGAATCGGAATGATCCATTCCCATAGTATGTTTGGTTCAGACAGGAATGAGAATGGGAATTGAAATCAGCAGAAACGAGATTTAATTCCCAAGGGAGGGATAGGGAATGGCCATTCCCTCAAATGGGGGAATGTCATTCCAGCAAAAATGGGAATGGAATTCCGATTCCATTCAACCACACAGTTGGAATCGGAATAACCCATTCCGATTCCGATTCCAGACCCCTATTCCTATGAACTAAACGGGGTTTTATTTATCTTTAGCATGTATACGTGCATCACACGGGTTATATTATAAATAAGTGATTCCATCATTGAAATCCAAATGTTTTGATGATCACTGTTGTTAGTGGAGATCTGCTCCAGAGTGGCTGAATTAAAATGATTCCAGCATTTTAACATGTTTAGCATGAGCGGGCATGGCAGGTAGGGGTGTAAACAGATCGAATTCGAATTGGATCAGGCAATATTCAAATTCGAATCCAATTAGAAAATCTGATATTCGAATTCAAATCTGATTAAATATTCAAATATTTGATTCAATTCGAATTCAATTAATTAATTATTTCAGATAATTAATAAATATTTTATTAATATAAAATATATAAATATATAAATTATTTATATAACTTAATTATTATATATAAATTATATAAAATATTTTATATATTATATATAAAAATTAAATAATCGGTCAAATTCAGATATTTATTGAATCGAAATAGATAATATTCGAATTTGACCGATTGAATATTCGAATTATCCGAGCTCGATTCAATTATATCAAATATCGAATTCGAAATCAGATTTTCAAATACCATTAACACTCCTAGTGGCAAGGCAAATTTGGCAGTTCCCAATCCTCGTGGGGAAGAGAATGAGATTGAAATTACTAGTCCTATTGAGGTACAAGACAGGGACAGGACAGGATATTTGAGTTCGGGGTCAGAGATACAACATACAAAACCTAAAAGAATCCAGATATGTTATAATACGCGTCCAACATATTGGGAGCAGATTTTCAGATACAACACATGATTGAAATGTGTAGTTAT